CCGGGAATCTTCGAGCTCCATCACATCGTTCTTCGGCCTCAGCCGGCTCGGCCAGGTCGCGCGACAGCAACTCCAGGTCAGCAACACAGCAGGGCATGATGAACTCGGACAGGAGTCGTTCGCGCCGGGAGCGCACGTTTGTGGGGAGCGAGTGCGCCGTCTGCGAGGAGCCGCTGGAACATACGCTGCGGGGCGAGAGGATACTGCAGTTTTCGTGCACCCACGTGTCCCACGAGGCGTGCTTCTATGAGTTCATCCGCGAGTTCGAGTCCCAGTACTGCCCGACGTGCAATGCGCCGTTACACCTGGATAGCAGCCGCGGCGGCAACGTGCTGGATATCGGTAAAGAAACAGACCGCTTCCTTTTGCAGCGACGGGATAGTGCTGACCCTCGTGAACCAGAAAAAATAAGTAATATGGTGCGGTCCGTATCTGTAAACGACTCGCGATCACAGAGCACGCCGACACCGACATCACAGCAGCCGTGGGACGAGCAGCCCTTGCGGTCGCCAACCGGAGGCCAGAATAGCAGGTCCGGCAGCATGGGAAACCATGCGAACCACATAAACCACGCCCCTCATGGGTCCCATGTAACCAACAACTCTCGCGACAGCGCACCGAGAAGCAGCATGCGCGACAGCCGTGATGCCCCGACGTCAGACCATCGCTACACGGCCCCCTCGAGCTCGAGACATGCGCGGAGCGACAGCGAAGCGACTGGTGTGGCGTCGTCAGGAGGATATCCCGAGACAACACAAAGCGGGCCCCCGCGACGACATGATTATGATGTTCAGGCCATGGAGACATCGCTTGCGAGCCCCCGCGCCATGGCGAGGAACCCCATCCCTGCGCCGACTGTCACGGTGCGGTCAGAATTTCCGACTATCACCAGATCGCGGCAGCAGCAGACGCTCACATGCCTGGTTACCATCGAGGTGCCCGACAACAAATGGCGACCAGACCCTGAGGATCTGCAGACTGGGCCGGCAGCACCGCCGCCGCCGCCGCCAAGAGTGGAGGAGACCTTCTCACGACCGCCGCCGTCGCCCGTTCGAAGTGCGCCTCGCTTTTACCCCTACGAGTCGCCCGAGGTGCTCGCCGAGATGACCGAGAGCCTGCGGAATCGGGTCGATAATTGGCATGGGTTGGACTTCAGCCGGTAAGAAAGAAACCCCGATGCCACGGTCGCTTGTTGCAAAGACGTGAGTCGCAATTTCGGAGGGATCGGAATGCTAACACGATTTGGTGTTAGGTTTGGAAAGCTTCGGCTGTACGGCACGCTGCGTGTCGGAAAAGACAAAGTGTCTTGGCAGGAACTCGAGTGTTTTCTGTTTGCCGAAATGCTCATCTGCGTGAAGGAGAAGAAAAATGCACCGCAAGCTCAATCGCAGTGGGACGATGAGGGTGCGCCGCGCAAGACGTCACGCTGCACGCTCAAAGGGTCCATTCTCATCAAGAAGCATCTGAACGATGTCACCGAGACCGGCACGATTGACGAGAATGTCTTGACCCTGAGTCTGTCGGTGGCCGAGCTACCGCAATTCCATCTCCGTTTCGAAAATCGCAACCAGCTCAAGCTGTGGCAGCAAGCGTTGCTCGACCTCAATGCCGTTGAGGGGTCTCCAGTTCGCAGTCCAGACTATGAGCGTGGCGAGTTTTCCGAAACGGACGAGGAAGACTGGCAGCGAACACCAGGATCGACCCGACCACAGCGCGTTTCGTCTCTGGCTTCGTCATGGGGCGGCGCAAAATCTGCCACGACAGCCCCGACCGAGTATACCAACTTTGCGCGGAGCCCGTTGCTGCCGTCAATACACGTGCCTGTCGACGTTGTGGTCGTGGTCCCTATCTCAGCGTCCATGCAGGGCGTCAAGATCAACCTGGTTCGTGATGCCCTCCGCTTCATGGTGCACACTCTAGGCGAGCGCGACCGTATGGGCCTTGTAACATTCGGATCCTCAAACGGCGGCGTCCCAATAGTGGGCATGACTACCAAAGCCTGGCCCGGCTGGACCAACGTCCTGAACTCGATCAAGCCGGTGGGCCAGAAGAGCCATCGTGCTGATGTAGTTGAGGGTGCGAATGTGGCCATGGATCTCCTAATGGGCCGTAAATACAACAACCCGATCGCCACCATCATGCTAATCAGCGATGCCTCGACATCCGATGCCGACAGCGTGGACTTTGTTGTGTCTCGTGCTGAAGCTGCTAAGTATGTTCCGCCCAGAGCCAAGCCCTTGCGATCGCAAATACTGACAGGATCACAGGATCACCATTCACTCGTTCGGCCTGGGCATGACCCACAAGCCAGACACAATGATTGAGCTGTCGACACGGACAAAGGCGTCGTACACCTACGTCAAGGATTGGATGATGCTTCGGGAATGTCTGGCAGGATGTCTCGGGTCCATGCAGACCCTTTCCCACCAGAACGTCAAGCTCAAGCTCAGACTTCCCGAGGGCTCTCCAGCCAAGTTCCACAAGATCAGCGGTGCACTCCAAATCACCAAGCGCGCAACGGGCCGCGACGCGGAGGCGGCTCTCGGCGATCTTCGCTTCGGCGACAAGCGGGACATTCTCGTGCAGTTGGTCATATTACCAGATAATTCGTCCCAGGAGCAGCTGCCACAGGACCCCTGGGACAACATTGTGTCCGGTCTAGAGGCCCTGGGTGGCCCCATGGACCAGGACGAGCAGAGGACTGTGTCGGTGGAAGAAGTCCCCCTGATCCAGGCTGAACTTGTCTGGGGCGACATCCTGCGCGACGGAACATCACAGCACACACGGCCATCCCTCTTGGCCATCACCATGCTGCCGGCATCGTCGAATTCGAAGAAGTCGTGGGGCAACTCTTCACCCATACCGCCACACCCACACATCGTACAGCGGCGCATGGAACTCCTGACCTCGGACATGCTGACTCGGGCATTGACCCTGGTCAGCCGGGGGCAGCACGACCGCGCACACACGCTGTTGAACGAGACGCGATCCATCCTCAAGGGGCTTGGGAAAGGCGGTCTTCCGCCCGTCCCGCCGCCACCGCCACCAGGGAAGTCACAGCCGTCGACACCCCACCCAGGCAGCGATGGCTCGCCCACCATCGCCGGCACCCCGGATAGGAAAAACACACCGTCGCCCACGTCGGCACACGCATCGACTGGCGGCGGTTTCCCTCCACCATCACTACCCCGGAGCCGATCCAATGACGGGCTAGGGCTTGGTCCGATGGGCACGGCCACCGGCATCGACGCAAACACAGTCGCGGCGCTCGATGCTGAACTCGAATCCAGCCTGGAGTGGATCAACCACCCGGCGGTATTCGGGCGAGACAGCCGCAAAGCTGTCCTGCAGGCCATCGGCGTCATCAGCTCACAACGCGCTTTTACCTTCCGCACACCAATCGAGAGCCTCTGGGCTGGTCGTGTGAGTGGCGTGAAGAAGCTGACTAGCAAAAGCCGAGAATGGCGCGAGGAAGGTGGGAGCAGCGCCCAGGGTGGTATCATCGAGGAGGCATGAAGCTTGGTATCAAGCTTGTAGTCCCTCGATACCCGTCCGAAACCCCGAATAGGCGTGGTGACTTATCTAAGCCTCGCCAAATGCCCATTGATTCATATCGTATCATGTATACCACAAGCTCAAACTCAGAACTTGGATCGCATATAATACCCCTTGCCCCTTTTCTCTCATCGAGCTGCTTCGTTTGCTCGCACCGCCGCCCACGGGCTACCATCCGACCACCTATTTGCTTGCTTTTGTCGTCATAGCGCTGTTCATGTGCGGATATATATTATACGATTCTTCTGGATGCCACTTGGACGCCGTAGATGATGGAAGGACGAGATTTGAGCTCTCGAATGGTGGAAGCCCTGATGTTTTCTCAATGCACCCGATGCCCATGGTATTTGTTCTGGTCTTTCACCGCCAGCTCTTCTTCTTCTTCCTCCCCGGCCGAGCTTTTCTGCTCCAGCCTGCCCGTTTGCATTGCGTTTGCATTGTTTTCTCCCCCTTCGCTTTAGAGGCGAGGGCGAGCATTTGTCTGCTTTCTCTTGCTTTCTTCTGGGTTGGTCTGTTTGGCTCGTTTCTCCGTCCTTTGCGTTGGAAGATACCAATTTCTGCTTCTTCTTCTTTCTTCGATCTGTTTGGATGCTATCAGGGCTTTTTTGTCGCATCTGGTTGGGGATGCTTGCGGCCACCAAATGTTGTTGTTGTTATTGTTGTTGTAGTTGCTGTTGTTTTGTCGATGCAGTTGGCATTTTGTTTCCGGGGGGTTCTATGGAGACATTCGGGAAGGGGGGTGACGTTTTGTTCCTGATAGAGGTACCATAGGTAGTGTACCTTTGACCAACGAGGTGGTTTGGGGGGTGGGAGGCTGGAAACTGGATTTTGGTTTGAGGGAGGGAGGGATGGTTGGCTTGGCTGAGTTATTGCCATTATATATCATTATCGAAAAAGAGACAATGATTTTCTTCTTCATGGATTGAATGAGTACCTACCTTACCTATCCATTTATTGTTCGTGGTGCGCGGGCGGTAGATGGTTGATGATTGAATGTGTACGGCGCGTTGTTTGTGGTATGCTGGGTAGGATGCCGGATGTTGTAGGATGAGGGAGGAGAGTTTTTACTTCTGGGAGGGATTGATGCACTTTTATGTTCGGTTCGGCTATCAAGGGATAGGATTTGAAGTGGAATGCAGTTTAAGCCGGAACACATTGTTTACCTACCTACCTTGTCTTCGAATCAAGGACTGAGTCAGGGTTCTGCACGCTGTCTTACTGACCCGATCAACCAGTCAGGCTAAATGTAGCAGCTTTCCCAACCAACCCCCACTTTGTCTTTTGATATGGGAAATATAGGTAGGTACCTAATGAAGAGATGCCAGAAAAGCGAGTGCCTCGGACGCGGGATCGCATCGCTGCCTGTTTCTCGAGAGACTGCGCGCGCGTTGAGGGAGAGAGCGAGTTGCGTCTATAGGGAAGATTTTGGGGGGCAGACTTCCAACACCCGATTGGCGCAGTGGTCAGCGCGTTGCGGAAAGGTAACCGGGGCGCGATTCCTACATTAGGCACAAAGAGGTCTTCCACCTCTTGTAGCCGATGACCGTGCTAAGGCACCCCGCAAAGGTCCTCGGTTCGAATCCGAGATTGATTGGGTATGTTTTTTTTCTTCCTTTTTTTTCTTTTCTATTTCTTTTTTGGTCCTTGGTTTTTGTCGCGGTAGACACGGCCTTGTCCGAATTTCCGTCGGTGTGCTGGCTGTTCCATGTTTTTGAGTGCTCGCTCGCGTCTTGAGAGGCCGGGAGGGAAAATGCGATATTGCACTACTAGGAAGACATCAGAGTTGACCCCGACACGAAAGCGGACGCACCCGCAGAATGTGACTGTAGACAGGTACATTGATCGGAGTTTGGTTTGGGTACTAGGATGTCTTGACACGTGCGAGATATAACCTCAGATAATCAAGAGCTTCGTTTGGGCCTGGTTATTCGGCATCATCATCATTCTTTGCCTACCAGGTAGTTACCTGGTAGCTACCTGGGTAGTTAGGTGTTCACAAGTGCATCATCTTTATGAGTGGTAATCAGCCTTTCCTACCTTCTTTCTTCTTCCCCGCCTTCTAATTGCTTGAAACTTAAGTAGAGAGGAGATATATATTGCAATGATCTTTGGTTGTCCCTAGCATCGCCAAATGCCTACCTGCCATGACTGGCTGGTGGGCATCTAACAGAATATATTTTCATTGCTCATTGAGAACTCCGATGGGGATTAATTGTAACGACGCTCTTAATTATTAATGGAAAACGTCTTTCAATGCTTTGCCGAAGTTGGATCGGGTCGGGTCATGGTGTGCGGAGAAGGCGTTTCCACACACGTTGAATGCAGCCACGGGACGAAAGAAAGGAGTTCGCCAAGAGAGGGGTCACCGTTACTGGTCCCCGATCTCCAGTTTTTATCAGATGGTTTAGATAATCTGCAACCAATCACGAGCGGGAGATGGCACAGGGTTGCTGCCGCGATCAAGTGATTTGAGTGGGGCGCATCCTTGTTGCCGAGCCCGTGCTGCGGCTGCTGCCTTCTTTCCCCCACCACCCCCCGCTAAGTCGCTGAGTCGCCGCGTTCGCTGAATGGTTTATTCCAGGTTATCATGCTACTCGCTGCTATTGCTGCTGATGCTGGGTTTTTTGTGGACTGCCCTGTGTGCGGCGCGCGAAGGAGCGTGGTCTCTGGGGTCTGGTGACTCGTCGCTTCTTCTGACTGGTTGCGCCTGTTCGCCCGGCAGCCCGGTGAGACAATTTCCCTTGACGTTCGTCCTCTCTCGTAAGGTGGCGGCGATGAGGGGGGGCGTTGCTAGCTCCTTTTTTTCTTGGGGGTTGGTCGGATTTGGATTTCGAGACGACCTGACCTGACCTGACCTAGGTTCATCCAAGCTCTCTCATTTTATTCTTCTTCTTCCGTTTCTCTCTGAAACAAACAACACGAAAAGAAATAACAACGTCCCAAGATTTGAGTTGAAGATTTATTGGCCATTACTATTTACCGTTCCATGAAAAGGGGGGATCACTTTGGAGGCATTTTCCTTGCAAGTTTTCTCGAGCCTAGCGCCGGGTCGCAACGCGCGAACGGGCAGCTACCTTGGTTGTTGGATCCTTGGGATTTGTATGCCGTGCTGAGTGGGCGTTGAGGTGCCATTCCATGTCCTCCTGCCCGAGTTTGCGAGCATGACTATCGCCGGCGTCGTCGGTGATCCGGAGACGCCCCTGGTCCGGAGAATCCACGACGGTAGCAGTCCCAGCAGCTATGGCGCGATAAGTCGGCGCCACTCGGACAGCAACGACCACCACGACAATAATGGTGTTCATGAAGCCGAGGACGAGGACGAGGACGAGGATGATGAGGTCCAGGATGGCGTAAGGCAAATCGAGGCTGTCTCCCGCGCCTGGACCAAGGCCGGTCTCCTGGTCGCCTACATGAGCATCCTCCTGATGGCCTTCACCACGTCGCTCGAGGGCCAAGTGACCTACGCCCTGGCAGCGTTTGCCGTCAGCTCCTTCAACAACCACTCCTTGCTATCGACTGTCTACGTCGTGCAAAACGTGGTCAACGGTGCGTACACGTACATATACCCGTCACTCGTCCACAAAGACTAACAAACATCCCCTTTCAAAGCCGTCATCAAACCCCCCATGGCCAAGATCGCCGACGTGTTCGGCCGCCTCGAGGCCTTCACTATCTCCATCCTCCTCTGCGTGGTCGGCTACATCCTCATGGCCTCGTCGCAGAACGTCGAGACCTACGCCTCGGCCCAGATCTTCTACTCGGCCGGGTCGACGGGCCTGCAGATCCTGCAGCAGGTCTTCATCGCCGACACGAGCGACTTCCTCAACCGGGCCCTCTTCTCCAGCCTGCCCGACAGCCCCTTTCTCGTCACCGTCTGGATCGGCCCGGCCATCGCCGCCGCCATCCTCGCCAACTTGTCCTGGCGCTGGGGCTACGGCATGTGGGCGCTCATCCTGCCCGTGGCCTTCCTCCCGCTCGCGCTCAGCCTGTTTCTCAACGGCCAAAAGGCAAAGCGCCAAGGCCTTCTCACGCGGCGCAAGCACCACACCTCCACCTCCACAGCAGCAACCAAGACCGGCACGCTCTTCAATGACCTCGACGTAGTCGGCACCTTCCTCCTCAGCGCCGGGCTCGCCCTGATCTTGATCCCTCTAACCCTCGTCTCCCGCTCCCGTAACGGCTGGCACGACATCAAGACCCTAAGCATGATCACCCTGGGCATCCTCTTGCTCATCCTCTTCCCGATCTGGGAATCCAACCCGCGTCTCGCGCCCCACCCGCTCCTCCCCCTCTCCCTCCTCCGCTCACGCACCTTCTGCGCCGGCTGCGCGCTCGGCTTCGTCTACTTCATGGTCTTCTACATCGCCGTGCAGCCCTACTTCTACTCGTACCTCCTCGTGGCGCTGAACCTGCCCGTCAGCCGCGCGGGGCCCATCACACAGACCTTCTCGTTTGCGTCTACCATCGCCGCTATTCTTGCCTCGCTAGCCATCAAGAACTACGCGCCCCGCCCGCGGCCCTTCATCGTCGCCGGCGCGACGCTCTACATCCTCGCCATCGCACTGCTTCTGCACACGCGCACGCGCGCCGCGTCTGTGCCCTCGCTCTTCGCCGCGCAGACTACCCTCGGTGCTGGCGCGGGGCTCATGCATGTTGCTGCCCAGCTGGCCGTGCAGGCCAGCTGCGGGACTAACCATGCCCATGTCGGCGTCGCGACTGCCGCCTTCCTGACTATCGTCGAGGTCGGGGCTGCCGTCGGCGCGGCTATCTCCGGCGCCGTCTGGGGGAGGTTGGTCCCCGCTAAGCTGCTTGCCTACCTGCCTGACAGCGCCAAGGCGGATGCAGGGAAAATCTACGCGAGCGTAGTGGTGGCAAGGAGTTATGCCTGGGGCAGTCCCGAGCGGGAGGCCATCGGGCGCGCGTACCAGGAGACCATCACGGTGTTGCTGAGGATCGCGCTGGTGCTGAGTTTGCCGCTTGTCGGCCTGGCGCTGGGGGTGAGGGATTATCGGCTCGATGGGATGGGGAGGGTTGGGGGGTTGGTTATTGGGAGTGGAGGTGAAGAGGGGGAGCAGGGTGCGGTTAAGGAGACGAGGTGGTGGAAGCGGTGGTGTGGTTGGAGTAAGCCGAGGGGACAGAGCGATGACGGGTTATGATTGAGCATGGAACGACCGGGAAGGAATGATGGGGACTTAGTTGGGATATCTGGAGAGCCGTCTCATGATGTACATATGGGGGCTTGGTTGGTCGGGTGCTTGGAGAACCCTGTCATGATATAATGGGATATGATTGAAAGTGTATATATGGGTTGGTTGCATTTACAGGGTTTAGATGGAGCAGACAGGTCAGATAGACAGATATATACCCGACTGATTATACATTACGTGGCGCACGTACTTTTTCCCACTTTGCGGATGCGCCCTGACATGCCCTGGCTTCTAGCGCTCACGACAGCAGCTTGGTCTCGAAATAGAACCCGGCGTGGTCTAGTCTGTCAATAAAGGGCTGTCCTAGGCAGGCGGGCGTATAGATGCCGCCGCCGGGCAGATTCTCGTCCTCGCCGCCGTCCTCGAGAAGCGTGGCTGCTGCTTCGGCGAGGAGGATCCCGGTTACTTTGTTTCGGGCGTTAGTTTGTGCGACGCATAAACCAAGCAAAAGGTTCGAAATATGGGGTCACTCACAGTAATAAGCGCTCCCATGGAACCACGCGCGGCAAAACGCCTGACGCCCCGCGCCCTCCTGCACATCCGGCACCGCCACGCCCCGGAACTCCAACGAGTCCTTCTTCGCCTCCTCCACGTCCGGCCCCTCGCCCGGCTTATAGACATACTTAACGGCAATCCGGCGCAGGAAGGGCGTCACCATCACCAGGCCCATCAGCATCAGGCCCAGGTGGATCGCGACGCCCGATAACCAGTTGCGCGCCTTCATGTACTGCCGGAACGAGAAGTTGGGCCCGTATGCCTGCGGGGTCGACGCCAGCAGGCCCCAGGTGCGCTCGACGATGGCCGCGTCGGTCTGTGCTGCGATGGACGAGGTTAGTAGGCCCAGGGACGGGACGGTGATTAGTCCTGTCAGGCGCGTGAGGAGGCCTGGCTGGACGGCGCGGAGGGAGAGGGAGTGTTGGACGTTGGGGTTGGGGATGGGTGAGAGGGCGTAGGGGGCGTGTGCTGCGCGGAGGTCGGCGAGGGTGAAGTTTGTGAGGAGCGAGAGGACGGTAGACAGCGTGCCGCCTGATGGGCCTTGGGATCTACGGGGCGGGATGTTAGATTTGGGATGTAGGGATGAAGAGGGGTGGAACGTACTTGAGGTTGTGGATCGAGACGGTGACATCCCGCATCGGGGCGCCGTGGAAGGCGGACCGGATCAGCCCGGCTAGCGACCAGGTCACCAGGTCGGACGGGGCCGACTCGATGCCGATCTGCGGGATCATGACGGCGCCGCTGGCCTTGGCGGCCGCCTCGTACTTGCGCAGCATCTTGGCCACGAAGGGCACCTCGCCTGTCACGTCTAGGTAATGCGTGCCGTTCTCGGCGCAGGCCTTGAAGGCCGGCTCGCCCATCTTGCCATAGGGCCCCACGAGCGTGATGAGGA